CCATTCCTTATCTTCTCTCTTCCTCCTTCCTAATACAGTTATGCAGGTTTCTTTCAACATCTCTTTCAAAGACTTCTAGTGTTCTCCCACACAGGTTCGTTCCTTCACGCATGTTGGTCTGTGTCTCCCATTTTGTCGTGATGGCTGACTCATGTGAAGATGTCCTTTGTAGTTTCATCCTTCAGTTTCTGGGTGTTGTACTTGAACTGCGGTCTATCACCAGCTTCCTTAAAGACATTAAGTTGATTTGGACGGTAGGTTGCTTGGATTAGATTGTGAGTGGTGTGAACCACCTACATCTGTTCTCCTTCTTGATATTGTGTCCAGCAGGCTGTCTCCACTTTCTTGAGATTGAGATGAAGTCGATCTGATTTTCAGTGTAGTGTGTCCATCTGGTGAAATTAAATCCATGTCGCTTTGTGGATATCCTTGTGCTTGAACACACTGCCTGACTCCAATTACCAAATCATTGAATGCACAGAAATCTGCAAACAATTCTCCATTCTCATTCATCACCTCACCTAGCACTTCTCGACCCATGGTTAGTTCTATTCCTGTATTGTCCGCTCCCAGTTTGGCATTCATGTCACCCAACCCATTAGAATTTTGATATTGTCAACTGACGTTTTGTGCAGTGTTGATTTAAGTTGTCTGTAGAATTCCTCCTTTTTCTCTTCATCTGCATTATTTGTAAGTGCGTAACACTGTACGATTGTGACTTTCCTTCCTTTTGAGTTGAACCTTGCTGTCATGATCCTGGAGGAGATTGGTTACCACTGCATGAGAGTCTTCGATGATGTTGGGGACATCATGATAGCCACTCCATCACTGTGTGCCCTTGGCTGTCGTCTGAATGACAATATCGGAGTAGATTATTGATTCTCCAGTTGACGGTTTCGAGAGTCCACTTCCATTCCATTTGCTTTCGCAAATTCCTAACACTTCAATGCGATACCTTCTCATCTCCTATGCAATCTGGGCAGTCTTGGAAGGTTTGAACATGGTGCGGACATTCCATGTCCCCAAGTTTACTTTAGCTTTCATCAAGAGAAGACACATCGGCCAATTGGCTTCCCGAATGCTTTCACCAATCGTCGTCATTTCGCCTCTCTGATTCCAGCAGGAAATAATTTCAGTTTTATTTTTTATATTTTATTTATGCTTTGAAGCTTCTTTAGCGGTTGGATTGGTTTTACGGGGTAGGGTTGCTAGCCCTATGCCCAACCTTCCCTGTTTACCCGGACTTAGGACCGGCTAGTAACTAGTGAACTAGTTAACCAGGCGAGGTTTTACTTGCTAAAGAAAAGACAAATTGACCTAATGCATGAAGACAATAATCTACACTCATGTTGTATGTAGCAAGTAGTTAAGACGGTGATATCAATCATGTTAACAAAGGCTGGCGGTAATTATATACATTATTGATGAGTAAAGAATCAATCACTGTGTTTAACCACCGAAATGACGTATCACACACTCCGTGAAATGGTGTTTTAGACTGAATGATAGTGAGATCGAGCAAATGTTGAACAGTTGTAGGAATGAAGAGAAATCTATTCAAGTTATTGTATTATTCAATAACACTACTCATCTATTACTTGACATTTCGTTTACAACTTCAATGACTTGATTATTCTATGTAACACACAAATGTGAATTATCATCTTCGGTGAGTGTTGTCTATACGTTGATTGTTTTTCTCATGGACTTTTCATTACAACCCTTGTTGATGTCATTAGTAACAATCTCATTGTTTCTTAATGAAGTTAGTATTGATGATGAAAGGTTTGCAACAGAATATCAAAGGTCAGACAGTGTTGAACCCTTTTTATCTAGATTCTCAAAACTCTGAGCTTGAATTATTCTGGTTACAGCTTCCGCTTGAAATGAATTTCCTATCAACTCAATCATGGCTATGTTGACTGATTTGATTTTAGACCTTGATGGAATATGTTGAGATTGATAGTCTGTACGTAATGTTAGCTGGCTGAAGTCAATCGACTGAGATCCATGTTTCGATGTTTCGCTGGTATTCATGAGTAGAAAACAAAAGATTGATTCATTTTTTTACTGATTTATCAATTTAGTCTGCATTCCCTTTGATGAAAGAAACTATAAGCTGAGACAAATCTCATCGATGGGAAATATTCTTTGAATTGACAAAATGTACTGGCATGTGATACATTTTCTAGACTAAATTCATAATTCTCAAGTTGTATATTCGTGAATGCATGATATCTGAAGACCGCAACTACTAAGATATTGGTATAAACAGGATTACTTGTTTCAGAATTGTTCAAGAGACTTTCTAAGCTAGTCAGAAATTATAATTCAGCCGCGCGGCTAACAACAGAGATTGAAGTGGTTGAGTGTATTGACCTGGGAAGTAGGATCAACCCTGGTTGGTTAGTTGCCGATGAAATCTCTACAGGGATACAAAAGGCTCGATTGGCTTTTGATAAATTACGCCACCTGGGGCGCCGCCGTAACATTCGATTGTCTATGGAGCGTCGAATGTACTGCATATCAGTCCGGTCTGTTCTACTCTACGGCTGTGAAACATGGTCATTGAGTGTGGAAGACATGAGAAGGCTGGCTTCATGTGTTTGACCACAGTTGCCTTCATAGTGTTGGCCGTATTCCGTGGTGTCACCACGTGAGTAATGCACAAATCAGGAGTAGAGTTGTGGGGAGAAGAGGTAAGTCGGTTGACCAGGTTGTGAACCTTCATCGACTGGCATGGTTGGAACACGTACTACATGTGCCTAGTCTTTGATTGCTTCGTCACACAATGTTGGCTGAAGTAGGTCCAGGCTGGAAAAAGGTCCGAGGTGACCAGACTAAAACATCGCACCAATGTATGAAATCTCTGACTGTTGGTTTGAGCCATGTGGGGTGATGCAGACTAGGTGGTTGGGGTCGGCGGGACAAGAGGAAGAAGTAGCTGGAGACTCTAGGTGATATGGGTTAGAACCGATTTCAGCGGCGCAGATGTATCCCCACACATATTATCCTCATCTTAACCACGCTATACCGAATCTCACCATTTTGTCATTCCTCGTTTCTTTCTTCTCGTACTTTATATTTCTTTTGACTGCATTCTCTTATCTTTATACTTCACCTCACTGCCTTTTTACTTGATGTGCTGATATGAGGTGTGGTAAGTTGGACCGTTTCGCAGTAATGCCTGGTCCTATGTTGCTATTGACTGATTGAGTTCATACGTGAAGGCTGATATATTCCACGCAGTTAATGATACAGAAAAGGAATAAAAACCTTTTAAAATCTCTCTGCACTTTTTCCCTTTTAGTTATCCTGAATTGTAGGAGTAGCTCCTTGTAGAAATCGGAGACTGTAACTTATCGATTCATTTTGAAAAACTTATAAACACAATGCGATTCCTACAACTATGCTTCACAAATCTCAGTTTACTACATCACTTAAATATCTAGATTATCGATCATATTTGGTGATCATACAGACTCCTTGAACTTTGTCTTTCATAAGTAAAATATATTTGCTAAGTCCTATTGAAGTAGAAAAATGAATTTCCAACTTTTCGCAAACTCAGGGAAAGTGCTTCTTTAGAGAATGAAAGTTGTACATGTTATCGACTGTTTAAATAGTAAATGGTGATGAATCAGATCACACTGTCTATACATGACAATAAATATGAAGATAAATGTTATTTATACTGGGTGATGATTGAAAATGATTGAAACCAACGATCACCTGATTTTCAGCACGGTGCTCTACTAACTAAGCTACGAGGTCCGATTACTGACCACATTTTCTACGTGTAAAAATTGGACACTGTGGTTGATTGTAATTCCATTTTAGTCTGTTTAGTAGAAATATCACACAGTGAAGGAACAATATCATTTACTGGATACCGTTTCGGATACAATTTATTGTCCATATTCATATCAGGTAAACACCTCCACGACTTTGAGACAGTCTTTATATATTTCTAATTTTCTCCCCTTCTTCGTGATGACAAGGGTAGTAGAATCTCGCATATATCTAGGACAGGTGCACAGTCATTTCCATTACTGCGTGAATTTGGTGTTGTCACCATTATTACCATAAGTAGTGGAATTATTATTAATAACATCTGTATTATTATTACTACTACTAGTACCACTGCCAATATTCTTCTTTCGACTTCTTATGAATTTAGTGATAAATTTTTGGGTAATTATTAGGACGGCAAGGTATTCTTGATGTGTCTAATTTCTTGTAGCAGATTTTCCGATCTACTAGTAAGCTTCTTCCCGAATGCTTTCACCAATCGTCGTCATTTCGCCTCTCTGATTCCAGCAGGAAATAATTTCAGTTTTATTTTTTATATTTTATTTATGCTTTGAAGCTTCTTTAGCGGTTGGATTGGTTTTACGGGGTAGGGTTGCTAGCCCTATGCCCAACCTTCCCTGTTTACCCGGACTTAGGACCGGCTAGTAACTAGTGAACTAGTTAACCAGGCGAGGTTTTACTTGCTAAAGAAAAGACAAATTGACCTAATGCATGAAGACAATAATCTACACTCATGTTGTATGTAGCAAGTAGTTAAGACGGTGATATCAATCATGTTAACAAAGGCTGGCGGTAATTATATACATTATTGATGAGTAAAGAATCAATCACTGTGTTTAACCACCGAAATGACGTATCACACACTCCGTGAAATGGTGTTTTAGACTGAATGATAGTGAGATCGAGCAAATGTTGAACAGTTGTAGGAATGAAGAGAAATCTATTCAAGTTATTGTATTATTCAATAACACTACTCATCTATTACTTGACATTTCGTTTACAACTTCAATGACTTGATTATTCTATGTAACACACAAATGTGAATTATCATCTTCGGTGAGTGTTGTCTATACGTTGATTGTTTTTCTCATGGACTTTTCATTACAACCCTTGTTGATGTCATTAGTAACAATCTCATTGTTTCTTAATGAAGTTAGTATTGATGATGAAAGGTTTGCAACAGAATATCAAAGGTCAGACAGTGTTGAACCCTTTTTATCTAGATTCTCAAAACTCTGAGCTTGAATTATTCTGGTTACAGCTTCCGCTTGAAATGAATTTCCTATCAACTCAATCATGGCTATGTTGACTGATTTGATTTTAGACCTTGATGGAATATGTTGAGATTGATAGTCTGTACGTAATGTTAGCTGGCTGAAGTCAATCGACTGAGATCCATGTTTCGATGTTTCGCTGGTATTCATGAGTAGAAAACAAAAGATTGATTCATTGTTTTACTGATTTACCAATTTAGTCTGCATTCCCTTTGATGAAAGAAACTATAAGCTGAGACAAATCTCATCAATGGGAAATATTCTTTGAATTGACAAAATGTACTGGCATGTGATACATTTTCTAGACTAACTTCATAATTTTCAAGTTGTACAGTCATGAATAAGTGATATTTCAAGACTGATACCCTAAGAATAATCAGAAAATTTTACACAACCTCATTTTCCTCTCATTCATCTCCTACTTACCCAACTGGTTACATTGTTATCACCATAACTGCTATTCACAGTATTTCTTGTGCCCATTATGCAAGTACGTTCACGTATCAATCACCAGTGAGTGAAGTTCGTAGCTGTCCTATCCTGATCTAAATTAATCGACCTGGAAATAACTAGCGCATCCTCTATTAAGCATATGCATACAACTCAGCAGCATGATAGACTGAAAGTTAACTAGGGTTAGGGTATCATTAACGATAAGACTATATTGAATAAAGAACAACTCCAAACTAGCTGTAGAACAATCTCATGAATAGGGTACAACGAACAGTGAATTTCACATTACCTCACCAGTCTAGATATATTACTCATAAAAATTGTCCAGATAGCATTTAAATCCTAGTGGATTTCATGTGTTCAATAAAAATCTAACTGTAGTACCGAATCGTATCATGAGGTATGCAGACATCCTGTGGTCTGAGCTCATCTGTACCTTGAGAAATGGTTACATACATCATGTTGAATTTTCGATCAAAAATGTCATCGTAGCATTGCTTGCGTTTAGTGGGATCACCGTATGAGCAACGTTGAGGTTATGTAGAGGGTAATAGGTAGGACACGCAAGTAGGTTGATGAGGTTATGAACCTTAGTTGACTGAGATAGCTTGGACATGTGTTCCGTTTGACAAGTCACCGTTTAGCATGACGTGTCATGTAAGGGGAAGCTAGATTAGGTTAAAGGACGGTTCAGGGTGGCCAAACGAAGACCTGGCTCAACTTTACAAAGTCCCTAACTGTTGGTCTGAGTCGTGCAGGGAGATTTAGACTGCCTGGTCGGGGTCATCGAAACGAAAGGAATCAGTGGTTCAGGACTCTTGTTGATATGGCTGAAAATCGACAAGAATAGCTCAGATGTATTCACTCATAGACATCTTCCACTATATTTGAAATGTTTACTCCTTCACACTACTTTGTCTAATTTGATATGATATCACTCTTTTTCTGTTCACATATTCTTTGTAGACTTCTGTGAAGTGTAACAACTTTTGGTGACTCAGTTGGTTGCCTAGTTCTATATTGATCTAGTCAGTCGGTCAGTTGCATTTATTCATCCCGATGAGTATTTTTGACATAGACAGTACGATTCCCGAAAAAGCGCTGCAACTGGTCGACTGCATCTAAACGACACACCAATACACAAATAGGCAAATTGGTGTGTTATCTGACAAACAGAAAAGGCAATGGCTTAATTTAATGCCAAAAACTAATAATCCTAGAAGAAAGTATGGTTCTATTAAAATTCAGAAGCCAGATTATCCCATCAGGCCTATAGTATATTTCAAAAACACTCCGACTTACGAGTTGTCTAAATATTTAGCGATGGCGTTAGGCCCAATAATAAATTACCCAAAACCCCGACTTATCGACTCTTATGACTAAAAGCAAAGATCAGATGACACACATTTAGGTGACAACGAAAAAAAATGGTTAGTTTTGATATAACTAGCTTTAACATGAATATAACGATCGACATGGCTCCAGAGGCAGTTAGAAATCGGATTAAGGATGACAATAACCTTACACATCGAACGAAGGTGACGATAAAGCAAATCATAAGTGATAGGGTGGCAAAGCTTACTAGTAGACCAGCAAGTCTATGACAAGAAATTAGACACATCAAGAATACCTACCCTGTGTCTCAATAGTTAGCCACCTAAATTTATAAATGAATTCACAAGAAATCGAAAGGAAAATATTACCACTACTACTAGTACTCCTCCTCCTCCTCCTACTACTACTACTACTACTAGTAGTAGTAGTAGTAGTAATATAGGTGTTATTAATAATAATTCCACTAGTAGTGGTAATGATGGTGACAGGGTTGAGAGGGAAATCAAAGCCTCTGCTGTGTTACGATACAAGGAAGGCACTTCAAAAGCATTGCGAAGAAATCTAAATAAAGTTGGCTGCGATTAAAATGGTATTCGAACAAACAAACTCAAAGCTTAGAAACAAGCTTAATAGGTATAGGTTGAAAGATCCTTTCGACGGAATTAAGCAAAGGAATCTGGTTTACCAGATCCCTTGCAATGATTGTGTGGACAAATACATAGGTGAATGTAGTTGACTAGCCAGGGTCGATTCAAATAACACACTACAAAAACTTAGCTAAATCAAGATGAGTAGATCCTAATCAGGTAAGAAGTCTAGAGAAAAGTTCGGCTATAGCTCTGCACACCATTACACACAATCACATAGTAGGGTGGGATATGGCGACAGTGTTGGAAACTGACTCAGTTGGGTGGATGGAGGGAGAGATTGATTGACAACCGACTGAATCTTTATTTATCGAATCAATGTCAAACACATGAGTTAATAGGAATGATTGTGCACCTGTCCCACATATATATCGAAATATCTGTTACCTTTGTCATCAAAGAGAAGGTGATGTAATTAGGACTATGTAAATTCTGTTTCAAAGTTGTGCAGTTAGTTATCTGATATGAATATGAAGAATAAATTGTGTCCGAAACGTTATCCAGTAAATGATACTGTTCCTTCACTGTACCGTGACATTTCTAATAAACAGGCTAAAATGGAAGAGGAGGCAATCACTTAACTAAATCTGATAAACTTCATCTCAGTCACAGAATTTTTTCGAAGTTGGATTAATTCATGATTTTTAACAAATAAAAAAAGGCGCTAAACTCCTTTTATTGTTTCATTAATGGATAATGAAGACATTTATCAGTTTTATAACGAAACAATCAGGCTGATTGGTTGATTACTTGGTTATTTCAGTTGTTCACGCCAACATTAAATCATAAAAATAATCAATAAAGTCATAATCGGTTAGTTTTCAATCGGTAATTAACTGTACCGTTTATCATTTATTTTTAAAAGGATGATAGGTAAATTTATCTCATTATTGTCTGAAATAATGAAAAAGACTAGAATCAACCGGTGAACAAGTTATTTATGTAATGAATAGGGATTTGTAATTTAGAAGTAGTATTCATCATGGACTGATATCAGTTGGGGAATCATTGGAAGTCTGGGGGCACTGGACAGCTGTTTTGTCCAACTAGTATGGGACTTCTCAGCGGTACGCACCCACAACCCGACTAGAGATCGAACTCAGGACCTTCAGGTTTCACAGCGAACGCGTTAACTATCCAGCCACTGGGTCGGTTTCCAGTGGTTCACAATTTCCAACTTCTGTCAATTCATGATATAGCGCGACTATCATGCAAGGTCTTCAGTTAGCATCTACTTCACTTCCGACCGGTTGACCCCATAGGTCACGACTTCTAATTTGAGCTTCATGATATCCATCTGGAAGGAAGTCATTAATGAGCACTATTCAGCAATGTATACAGTAATGAAACCTGAAGGTCCTGAGTTCGATGCCTAGCCGGGTCGTCGGTGTGTACTACTGAGGACTCCTATACTAGTTGGACGAACCAGCTGTCCAGTGCTCCAAGATTCTCAGTGGTTCCCAAACTAATATCAGTTCATGATGAATACTAGTTCTGAACAAGTTATCTGTTAGCTGGGTGGTGATATTTCTTACTATGTTACTGGGTGATATGGGTGTAGGTCTTTGAAAGGACATAATTACGTCTAAGACTAATGATATATAACACTGAAAGAAATGAGTAGTCAGAAAATCACCTTTTGTCTGATGTGTAGTTCTGTACAACCAGATCACAGTGATCTGAACACTGGATGACCGTTTCACTCGTTCAGGGTCAAGATCGTCATCGGTGTTCCAGGAAATATTCAAAGAAGATATCCGAATTGCTCAAACTAGCCTAATCTAGCTAACTGGCTTGAATGAAATGGTACATCCTGAACAATATGATCATATAGTCGTAAATTACACGGTTCATACTAAAATGTCTAACACTTGAGTAAGCGTACAACTACCCAACTGTGGTGTCAACAGGCTTTCCGCTGGTACACTAGCCACCCGAAACGACTGAACTCGCCATCTGATGTTTAGATCTCTCTGATCCGGCTGCGGAAATCCACACATCGACCTCAGTACTTTGTTTCCATATAAGATTTATTTATTTGATTTATAACACACAGTGGTGATTGAGTATTATTTACTTGATAAGCTCGTTTCGAGCATAAATTATCATTGCCCATAATAATATCAGTGTAATCACACCACTTTCAACATCTGATTTTTATAGTTATATCGCCTCATATTCTTTGTTTCGATTGGCAGTAAAGTTTTCTGTTCCTCTGGCAAAGGTGTTGCGTCATCATTCCCACTACATATATTGGGTATCGATTCGACGAACAAACATTCAGTAATCAATCTCTTACAATCTCCACCTAATTCTATTAGATATAAGGACAATGGATTTTATCCCAACCTATTCTGTGGTTGTATATTGATGCATGTAATGCAATAGCCAATTTACTTTCTAGATTACTGATCTTATTCGGCTCTGTTATTCTATATTTAGCTGGATTTTTATGCTTTACTAATCTCACTGACTCCGACTGTTTAGTTTAACCAATGTACTGGATATTGTCGTCATTACATGGAATTTGATAGATTAGATTATTTCGCTTAGTTGGATCTAACAAATCCTTGGGCCAACCGACAAGGCTTATCTCTGAGTGAATTTCTAGGTTCAAATGACACCCTAATTCCAGGTTTGTTAAGTATCCTATGTAAAGTTTCTGAATTGCCTTCTTTATAGGGTAACACAACTGAGTCTGTGAACTACTTTCTACTTGTGTTGTCGTTATTATTCGTACTAGTGTGACTGTTGTTATTTTATCACTCATGTGTTCTTACGAATTTCTTGATAAACTACAGATGATAATTATTAGCTATTAGCGCTTCTTTTACGTGTTGCAATTCATTATTTACGTCGTTTCACTGATTACTCAGTTTTCTAGCCCTATCATTTAGACATTT